CTCTGATGAATCAACAAATATCATCAACATAGGAGACATGGGAGTTTTGGTAGGCTTATGTGACATCCTCTAATTTTCATAACCAAAAAAGATCTTTATTTACGCTTTAAAATTCATGATACTTCATTTGTGGGAAATCCCGGTATATAAAATATTTTTGAGAACAAGATTGACTCAAATAAAATCCTAAGGATGTCAGAATCAATACTGATACATAAGTTATAGTGTAAAGACTTGATGGTCCAGGACACTATTGCAGGCTGTCTCTTAATCACTCAACATCCTAATCAGGTTCCAGTAGCTTAAGTCTTGATGTCTGTGATGCATACAAACTGAGCAGGTCAAGCTGAGAAAGCTGGTGAGATACATAGGGATTTCAATCCCACCGATCCTCACATATCCTACTCCATGATTATCAGAAAGATAAACAGTTTTAAAATCAATAGTTTAACTACCATCTAGGCGCTTCCTTGGCCAGTGTAAGTCATAAAGGCACTCGAGCCATCAGAGTATTTTGATGAATATGGTATCCCATTTCATCTACGTCTATGGGTTATGAACCCACACTAGTAATGTAATTCACAATACCTTCTAGAATGATCAAGTGTTGTCATCTTACTTTGGGAGATGACGAGGCATACCATTATAGTTGCCTGATTTGGACCCACCATATTTAGTCATCCAAAAGGAATACAATATTGTACTCCGGTACGTATTTCGTACCATCGACACCTGAAAGTGTCATGGAACAGAACTCTACTCTTCGTTCATAACTTACACACATTCTATGAATGAGACTACCCAATATCAAACTTAATTGAACTTGGCGTCCATAATAAGTCTTATCTCATAAACGGGCAAAACTACTTGGATTCCAATACCAACTCTTTTTAGGCAACATTATCCTAATTCAGTGTATATGTTTAACATATAGTATTTAGGTATTAATATATTTTTATCATTCTCTCTAATAATACTTCTTTTATTATCATCACGTAATATATATATATATATATATATATATACATACATATATATCTTAACACATAAAGAATATATCCAGTTCGCATATCTTATATCATCAAATACATTTCTAACACATATTCCAGGCAATAAGCATATAACTCACATTTAAACTTTTCGACATATATTCAATACTTTAATTAATACTTGTATTAAATTCATGTTCATGAAAGAGACTATGCACTCGCTTGACTTAGGTGGATGAATGGTGATTTGGACTGAGCTTAACCTAAACCTTAGTTTATCCTTTGACGTGACCTAAGTATGATCAATACTGAGTCTTAGTCTAATGTTCCTCGTGAATAATGATAGTCAAGATTCCTTAACAATCCCAATGTCTACATCAAGTAGGGTTCGTATGGTATATAAAGTATATTGTTTGGAAATGCCACTTTAAACACCTCACTAAATCTAGCCTATACATCACCCTCGTAAGTAGATCAATCAGCTTAATGACTTGGAATCACTAATAAATTTTGTTTATAAATTCATGCCAACGACTATGAATATATATATATATATATATATATATATATATATATATATATAAGGTACACTTGAAGTAAAATAAGTGTAGCTTATCTTACAGAGATTTTTGCGAAAAGTAGGAGATTGCACTGAAAGAACTCCGACCCGGGAGCTTCTACTAGTCGAGCCTAGATACCCAGAGCCCTGGTAAACTAAAATACTCTGAATCCCAAACAAATAACCATGATTCGAGCCTAAGAAATAAATAGAAAGTTTAGAAATGGTGTGGAGAGGAATAAGGGCTGGGGGGTATTTATAGGCTGAATCTTAACTAGGCACGTCGCGCCTTTAGAGGCGCGCGTCGCGCCCAATAGCCACTTCGATCCTCCTACTTTGTGATATGTGCCATCTTTCTGCCGGTCCATGCCTATGGCTTTTAGAAGCGCGTGTCGCTCCTCCTACACGTGGCGCCATCGATAAATCTTCAAAAATCCATATCTTCTTCATAAGAACTCCGTTTTTGACGTTCTTTATATCCACACGTAACTATTGACGAGATCTACAACTTTTGTTTAGACATCGTTGGCTAATTATAACTTTATTTTTAAAGATATATTTTTAACAGGCTTAGACTGTTAAAGTCCACGTAAAATTCATAACTCTTCCATACAACATTCGTTCTCGACTGTCTTTATATCAATTGACTCCTAATCATGAGATCTTCATCTCTCGTTTAGATTGTTTTTTCTAACAATCGACCGATCTAAAATCCGGTTTCTGTGTTGTAAACTACTATACTAAAACTTCAAAAATCTTAACTTCCTCATATGAAGTCAGATTTGAGCGTTCTCTATATGCACGCTCTCGCTTTTACGATTCGTACAACTTTCGTTTAGATTATTTATCCTAATTAATCTTCTATAAAAAACATCTGTTTATTTTTGTGACAAATAATTATCTTATTATATCTTAAATGTCTATCCCGAATCTGCGGGCATTACAACTTGCAATCCGATAAGAAGAATTTGTTCATCATTTCGGAGATCTTTTTGCTTTGATTAATGTAGATTCCTTTGGATTGTTTTTTGACTTGAATTCCCAAAAATAACGATTACTCACCCATCATACTCATTTCAAACTTTATTGACATTACAATCCAAATTCCTTACTCAATGCGTCATTTGTGGAACAAAATATGATATCATCTACCTACACTTGAGCGAGAATGATGTCCGACCCTGGATGCTTGATAAAAATGTGTTATCAATGGCTCCTTACTTGTATCAATTTTCAGGTAGGTATGTCATCAACATGTTATACCATGTCCCAGGGACTTGCTTCAATCCATACACAACTTTGTCCAATCTATAAACATGATAATAGAAATCATTATTCTCAAAACTAGGTGTTTTTTGAGAAACACTTCTTGCTGGAGATCTCCATGGAGAAAAGGCAATCTTGACATCCATCTAAAAATCTTTAAAGTTCATGTAAGAAGAATAAGCAAGAAAAATTCTACTTGCCTCCAACCTAGCTACAATAGCAAAGAGCCTAGATTTATTTCGAATAACCGGTCCATCTTCATCCATCTTGTTGAGATAGACCCTACGAGTACTAACAATTGAATTTCCTTTGGAACGTGGTACCATATTCCACACATTATGCCATTTGAATTCATGGAGTTCGTCTTGCACTGATTTTATCCAATCAGAATCCTTCAGGGACTTACCAATCTTCTTAGGTTCAACCAGCAGGACAAAGTTGACAAACAGGAAAAAGTTACTTGTGACTTAATGATGGGTTCGAAAACCAGTGAAATATCACCAATGACTTGAGAGATAGGATGATCACTAATGTTGTGGAGATTTTATGGTTCAGGATAAATAGGAGAGATATCTGAGACAAATGATTCAGAGGTTCAGGAGATTTCATGGTCAGGGAAATGAGTTTCAGGGTCTTGTAATTGGGTTTCAAGGTTAGGTAAGGAAGTACCAATCAGAGGAGTTGAGAATTCAATCAAAGTTTATGAAGTAAAGGTTTAAGTGGAGAGTTCATCAAGCATTGAATATGGATGATCTTCTGAACAGACAGGGTAAGATTCTTCATTGAACATGACATGTATAAATTCTTCAAATTTCTATCTTCTTAAGTTGTATACCCTGAATGCCTTTCAAATGGATGAGTAACCAAAAAAAATCAATCATCAGCTTTAGCTTCAAACTGTGATAGCTATTCTATGTTATTTAGAATAAAACAAACACAACCAAACATGTGAAAATATGAAATATCTGGCCCGTGAAGAGTTCCTATGAGGTTTTTCCATGAAGACAATTCAAAGAGTTATCTTTCTTGATCCATTTATTATTAGTATTAAGATGTTATTTACTCTTTTTCAACATTCCTTGAAAGCACAACGGACAACGTCATGTGAAGGGTCACCATATCTATAAAATTTTCTAATTCCATATTTTACTTTTTTTTAGTGGAAAATTTTGTTGAATTACTACTTTTGGGTTTCCATATTCTATAAATAGTTTCTTTCTTTTGAAAAACAACCATTTGAGTTTTAAAAACATGTAATTTTTCATTATCACATAAATTTCTATTAGATGAAGTTTCAGCATAATGAAACCCAGATGAAGAGCAACTCGAGTAATCAGTGTTACTACACGCTAAATGAGATTTAGTGTCAAAATAACCACTAGTACAACTTGTAATCAAAATGAATGTTTGTCACAGTGTGAATCTCACCATTTGAGATGAGAAATTTGATTAAGTTAGATGTACTGGGTTAACAGACTAACAAGAGTGGTTAGACCATTATCATTTGTTTGATAATGTTTGTTTATTAGTTTTTGACTTTTTGAAGGTGCATCGTAACCAAATTTAGTTCTATATTCATATATTAGTTCATCATTTGATGGAAAATTTGGTTCAATGTTAATTTGTTCAAAGATTTTGTCAACTCCTTGAAATTGACCACCAATAATTTTCCAGCCTGATGAGGGATCTGATCATTAAGAATTTTAGTGGTTATGATATTAGAAAAAGTCAAGTTTTCTGAATATTTTGAGAGTCCTTTTGGGCAAAGTCTCTTTCAAAAAAGAGTTCATGATTTGTGAGGGCGAAGTCTCTAAGATTATAACTCATTTGAGAGAGATATTTTTCACAAATATTGAGATCAATAGTTAACAAATCAATTTTCTTTTTGAGATCTTTTTTCATTATTAGATTTTTAATTCAAGACACAAATTATCAAAATAGTTTACAAATTTTAACCTGATACACTAAAGACGAGTCCATGTTTTGAGCATTGCAATCCTTGGCAACTTGAGAGAGATCATCTTCAAATGTGCTAGTGTTACCGCTTGAATCTTCATTGAATGAGTCATCAGTGAACGAAATCAAACAAACATCATTTCTGTAAATTTCATCTTCAGAAGATTCTACTCCATCAACCTAGTTTTCTTCTTCAGCGAGAAGAACCTTTGAACCCATATTCTGCTTCTTTAGACAGGCAACCAGATGCTAATACGTAGCTTCATATGATTCTTCCTTGGGTTCGCATATATTGATCTTGTAATCCTTTGCAAAATGATAAACACCTCCATAAGTGAAGCACTTCTCATCACTATTCTTCTCAGAGATAAACCTTTTTGACCCACCAGTGTCAAACTTCCTTTTCCCTGAGCATTAGATCCTGAGCTTCCTGAATGAAACTTTTGTGCATCGCTTAGTTTTTTGGCTTCTTCAAATTGATTGAATTGTTTGACAATAATAGCAGCATGTGAAGCCATATCATAGAAATTCTTGAATTATTCATCGTTAGTGTATGCGTCATCTGAGTTGTCATTGTCACTGTCAAGGGTAAAAATTGACTTTTGGGAGATAAGAACAAAAGATGTATCCTTGACACCGTCCTTCACGATTTCCTTTCTTTGAAGTCTTGTTTCTTTATAGTTCATTAAGTTTCCAAACATACTCTCCAAATCCAATGTCTTGATTTTCTCACTATTTTTTAAAAGATCAACATGACTTCCCACTTTTCATCCAATGAGTTAATAAACTTAAGCACAATAATAGTGGTATGTTTAATAGTATTGAATCTTCCCATATCATTAATAAGAGAGTTAAAGTGATTAAAAGTATCAGTGAAAGATGTTAAAGATAGTGCCCACAATAACAACAGTTGGTAATATTCATATTAATATTAGGGTCCTTTTGGGTTACACACAAGGATAAAAATAAGCGACTGATGACTCAAGAATAATTTTAGGGATCTAGTTTGTTAGTTAGTTAACTCTTTAATCAATTAAATGAAACTTGGAGATCTAGAAGGTTCTAAATAAAGGGATATGAAAGTCACATGATTACCAAAGATAAGGACAATTATTATGTGATCAGATAACAATCCATTAAGGGTTTAAATCCTTCCTTATAAATATAGGGGTCTTAGGCCGGATTCATTGAGGATTTTATCCTTAGAAAACCCCCTAGAAATCTGCATTACCCATTCGATCTCAAAAATCTGCCCCTCAACCTCCTACGCGACGCGTAAGGAGTTCCACACAGTGCATAGGTAGTGGCAATTGATTGGATATGGGTGTGTGCATTCTGTTGCATGTATTTCTTATCCAAATAAGGATATTGAATCATATATGGATGTGATTTTGAGTTCCACCACATATATGCAGTCTTACAAATATAGAATTGTAACAATGAATGGGAGTGATATGTGGCCATATACAAAATATATACCAATTTTGTCTCCTTTTAATAGAAGGATGCCTACCAGACCAACCATTAAAAGGAAGGGGGATGCTATAGAAAAACCTGTTAGTCACAAGGTATCTAAGGTTGGAATGAAAGTCAAATGTAGCATTTGCAAGGAGACAGGTCACAACAAGTCCACTTGCCTAGTACGAAGACCACAAAATACTAATATAAGAAGGGAACAAAACAAAAAATTTAGTGTTAACCAAACAACAGGACATGTAGTAACCTTATTTTAATAGGGAACAAACATTACTTTAAATTATCATTTTGTTACATGATTGGTAGGTAAATGCAAATAATGGAGTTAATGTCAACCAAGCAGTAGGTTAACAACCTGATGAGGTGAAGCTTACTCCAATTGAGGTGCTACTTACTCTAAATGATGTGGTTGAAGACTTGGAAGCTATGTAAATACAAGTAGAGTCTGTTGATATGCAAGTTCCTCATACTAGGATTGAAGATGATGTTGGTAATGTCCAAGTGCAATGAAGATAAGAGTAAGAACAAAATTTGAAATTTTGAAAAGGATCAGTAAAAGAAAATAAAAAATAATATTGAAGTCAAAATTGGCTAAGAAAGTGGGGGGGGGGGGGGGGGGTGATGATGATCTTGGAAACTCTAAGGAGAAAGATCTAAACATAGATTAATTATTTATTTGATGATATTCTATTTGTAATGTGTACAATGTTTCCTTAGAGTTTATAAAACCTATTGTCTACATTCCATGTGTGAAAAATACAATGTTATTTCTTAATTCTAAAGTTGGTTGGCTTTCATCAAAGTTGGTTGCTATTTATGAAAGTTGGTTGCTATTTATAAAGTTGGTAGCTATTTATGAAAGTTGGTTGCTATTGTATGATAAAGTTGATTGTTATATATGATAAAGTGGGTTGCTATTTATGAAATTTGGTTGCTACTGTATGATAAAGTTGATTACGATTTATAAAGTTGGATGCTATTGCATGATAAAGCTGGATGCTATTATATGATAAAGTTGGTTGCTATTTGTGAAATTCGCGTGCATTGTTTTAAAGCACATTGTCAATTTTACAAATTGCAGGGATGAGAATGACCAATATGGTCCTCCATGAGTGTATTATAATGATTAATATGAACCTTAGTATTAGGAAGTGTGTGTGTAACATCCCAAAAATTCAAATAAAAATTTTCATTTTAAATTCATTCCAATCATACAATAATAATATCAAAACAGTTTAGAGTATATCATAGAAAAATATTATCAGAGTACAAAATCCCAAAATCACGTGATGCGGAAAAACGTAAGTGGATGGAGTGCGATCAGTCTGGGCCCTTCCCTTTCGAGCTGGAAGTACCTGAAATATAAACTGAAAACCGTAAGCACAAAGCTTAGTGAGTTCCATTAAAATACCCCACGCTATACATACATAACAGTCAAAAAAAAAATATTGGATCTATTTCACCCCCTTCGGTATATTTCAACCGATACTGGGTCTATTTCACCTCCTTCGGTATCTTTAAACCGGTAATAGGTCTATTTCACCCCCACCAGTATCTTTCAATCGATATTGGGTTTATTTCACCCTTTCGGTATCTTTCAACTGGTATTTGGTCTATTTCACCCCCGTCGGTATCTTTCAACCGGTAACGGGTCTATTTCACCCCCTGCAACTAACACATATAATCATAACAATAAGAGTCACAGAGGCATCAAGCATATACAGGCATAACATATCATTGTCACGAAGACAATCATCATCCTACAAGCATAATCTAGTGGCAAGACATTGGTGCCTGTGACCCACAGATACAGTGAAGGAAACTCACCTCATACTGAAGATATCAAATCACACTCGGGCTGCTGACTCGTGAAATCCTCTCACTAAATCACAAGTAATGAAACCCTAATTAGAAATTAGGTCAATAATCTAACTCGTGAGTTCAAACCCTAAATCCCGACTTTAAGGGCAAAAAGGTTGCTTAATCCTTGCCTTATTGGGCCTACCCCACTAAGGCTCGAATCCAAACTAGCCCAAAAGGCATTCCAAGTCCAACAAAAAAGGACTCTAAGGCCCAACATGGGCCCAAGAGCTCCATGATGGCCTAAAGCCCACAAATGACCAGATACCACAAATAGGCCTAAGTCCCAAACTCAATCAAGGCGAAAAGCCCAACTAATCCCGAGCCCAAAACTCCAAAGCCCCCATAGACGAACGTACGCGTGGCGTACCATGCTTGTATACCCAGCGTACGTTGTTGATCCGGAATCGGGGTGTTGGCCCCGTTTGCACAACGTACTGGTCAAACAGCCAAACATACTCCAAATGTCTTTATCCATTAAGCTTATAACGTCCAAATTCAGATCCAAGTTCATTAAAGTGTATTAAGACATAAACTTGCAAACTTTATGCTTTTGCATGACTAAATGGGACTCAAACCATGGATTAAAAATTCTATCTCCCTTAAGTGGTAACCAACTCACGCATGGTTGAGTTCTAACTTCCAAGATCTGATTTTTATGACTTCATGCACTCATAAGAGCCTAAAAGGACAGATCAAATGGTATGGAGTAGTCCATACTCCATGAGACCAAAGTTATGGGACCAAAATATGCTAAGTTCTTCCAAAAATTTAGATCTATACTTAGAATGAACAAGTTTTAGACTTTATACCTCCAATGAGCTAGAAATGATGAACAACCTCTGGATCTACAAGCTCCTTCTTGTCCAATGCTTTTCCTCAAGTATTCTTCTTCTTCAAAATCACAAAAGAACACCCAAAAACTCTTAGTAAGCTCAAGAATACTCTCAATATGGCTAGGGTTTCGAGATTAGCTCAAAAAGACAACGGAGGTTGAAAAGGTGAAGGACTTAGGGGCTTAATGAGCTTACATAGGGTGCAAACCCTAAAAATTAAGGTTTGCCTCTGGCTTGCATACGCATGGGGTACGCACAACGTAGGTAGGGGACATCCCTGCTTTGCGCATTCATAGGAGTACGTCATGTGTACCTTGTGTACGTCAACGTACTCAAATCTAGTCAATGGATAATTGAAATAATTTGCAAGAGTTTTTACCTAGAGATTCGGACGTTACAATTCTTCCCCACTTGTATAAGACTTCGTCCTTGAAGTCCGCTATCGCAAATAACCCTGGGTAATGCTCCCCCATCTCTCTTCTTCAGGCTCCTATGTGCACCCAGAACCCTTCCGGTGCTGCCACTGCACCTTTACCAAACCCACAACCTTGTTCCTCAAGGTTTTCGTCTTCCGGTCAAGGATCGCCACCGGTCTCTACATGTAGTTCAGAAGGTCATCCACCTGAATATAATCCAACGGAACAACTACGGAATCATCAACCAAAAACTTCCACAGCTGAGAGACGTGAAAGGTACTGTGAATCTGAATGAGCTCCTGTTGGAGATCGAAATGATATGCCACCCTGCCCACCCGAGCTAAAACCCTAAAAGGACCAATATATCTGGTGCCGAGCTTGCCTCGCTTCTTGAATCGGATGACACCTTTCCAAGGTTAGACCTTAAGGATTACCATATCCCGACCTGGAACTCCAAGTCTGGCCGACGTCTGTCTGCGTAGCTCTTCTATCACCTCTGTGCCGTTTGAAGCTTGCCACGAACCTGTTGAATCATCTCGGTCGTCTTAAGTACCACCTCGATACTCCCCATGACCTGTTGACAGACCTCATCCCAACATATCGGGGTCCTACACTTCCTCCCATAGAGCATCTCAAAAGGAGGTCGATCGATGTTGGCATGATAGCTGTTGTTATATGAAAATTCCGCTAACGGAAGATACGTATCCCAACTACCGCCAAAATCCAAAATCTCATGCCCGCAGCATATCCTCCAATGTTTGGATAGTCCGATCACTTTGACCATTCATCTGCAGGTGAAAAGTCGTATTGAAGTGCAAACGAGTACCCAACTCTTCGTGGAATTTCTTCCAGAACCTGGAAGTGAACCAGACATCCCTATCAGAGACCACAGAAACCGGCACCCCATGTCGTTCCACCACCTCCCGAATG